TACTATAGTGATGGTGCTAACCAGGCTTTAGCAAGTTGCCAGAGGGACTTTCGTAACAAACCCTATCCTGTCCGGGCGAAGATTACATATTACCAGAAAACACTGACCGTAAGTAGCATACGTTTAGAGAGAAGCAAATCAGTGGTATTCTAGTATGGTTTCTCATTCTGAATCTTTGATAGAAACTCAATGCATTTTAATTCGGACACTGTCCATGTCCTCATCAGTGTTACTGTGAGGGAGCAAATGATTCAGAGCTCAGTGTGAAAAGTGGTCATGTGTTGTCAAGTCTTGCCGATAGGTTTGCATTTAGTCAGTAAATGTATAAATATCCTACTGTGTGCCACCCAAGTATGAGTAAGACAAGTCATTTTCTCCAAAGAGCTTGTTGTCTGATGGAGGAGACGCTTACTTAACATTAGTACGCTCTGTGATAAATGCAACACAGATATCCTAAAGGGGTCACGAGGACAGATTCCTGCAGCTGTCAGGCAGGCGTGGGCAAGAGCAGGAATGGTTTCAGCTGAGCTGCACCTTCAACGGAAGGAGGAGTTCCCTAGATGGTGCGTATTCCAGGCAAAGGAAACAGGTGGAGGGACTGTTCAAAGATTTGGGAAAGGTGAGTAGTTGGTTTGGCTGGAGGATACAGATTTGGGAAGTGAGGTTGAAAGGTTGGGAGTAACAAGTCTCACAGGCCTCATGTAGTTTATCTGATAAGGGACCGTTTAAGGAGTTTTAAGCAGAAAAGTGAAATGATCAGATGTGCAATTTGGGAAGGATGACTTAGGCAGCAGTGTTCTTATAATGGTATTTATGAAAGGAGCCAAAAAGCAGGGTGTTTGAGACTCCTTGACTCTTAATGGGCCATGCCCTGTGCTTGGTACTTTACATGCAATTTCTCATTTATGTTTTTCCTTCCAGTTTTATTGAGATGTAATTGACATGCAGCACTGTATAAGTTTAAGGTGTACAGCATAATGATTTGATTCATGTACATCGTGAAATGACTACCACAGAGAGTTTAGTGAAATCCATCATCTCGTGTAGATACAAAATTAAAGAAATAGAAAAAAATTTTTCCTTGTGATAAGAGCTCTTAGGATTTACTCTTTTAACCACTTTCATTTTTAACATACAGCAGTGGAAATTATATTTATCATGTTGCACATTATATCCCTAGTACTTATTTATCTTTATAACTGGAAGTTTGTACCTTTTGACTGCTTTCATCCAGTCCCGCCTACCCCCACCCCCTACCTCTCTCTGGTAACCACAAATCTGATCTTTTTCTATGAATTTGTTTTTCAAGTAAAATTGACCAACAACACTATTGTTATTCCTGATATACAAGGTAGTGATTCAGTATTTCTGTACATTTCAGAGTGATCACCATGGTAAATCTAGTTATCTGTCACCATACAAAGATAATACATAATTGCTGACTATATTCCCCACACTGTACAGTTCAGACCCATGACTCATTTATTTTGCAGCTGGAAGTTTGTACCTCTCTATCTATTTCTATTTCTCGTCTTCCAACCCTTTCCCCTCTGGTAACCACCTGTTTGTTCTCTGTGTCTTTGATTCTGTTTCTATTTTGTTTTTTAGATTACACATACAAGTGAAATTATGTAGTATTTGTCTTTCTCTGTTTTCTTTCACTTAGCATAATATCCTGTAGGTCCATCCATGTTGTTACAAATGGCAAGATTTCATTCTTTTTTTATGGCTGAGTATTGTATGCATGTACCACGTCTTCTTTATCCAGTCATCTATCGATGGGCACTTAGGCTGCTTCTGTATCTTGGCTGTTGTAAAGAAAGCTGCAGTGGACCTGGGGGTGCATGGATCTTTTCTAGCTAGTGTTTTCGTTTTCTTTGGATAAGTACCCTGGAGTGGAGTTGCTGGATCCTGTGGTAGTTATGTTTTACATTTTTTGAAGAATAATCTCCATGCTGTTTTCATAGTAGCTGCACCAGTTTACATTCCCACCAAAAGTGCATTCTGGTCAGATGTACAACTAAATGGTACCATTAACTCACCTAGAAGCATCGCATTTGTTTGTGTTTGAGGGAGGAGTGGGAAGGCAGAGCATTGGTAATGAGGTTAGTTGTAGACAAACTGAATTTGGGGTAATATTCAGATGGATCTGTCCACCTGGCAGTTAAAATACTACATGAACTTTACTTTTATAAAGATGCCTTCAATACCTGGTTATATAATACTTACAAGTAAAGAATATCCTGTATACATTTTTCTTTTCCCAAGTCTCATGATCTAGGCTAGCCTCGCATTCCTTTATATAAACTCTGAAAAAGACAGTTCTTTGGAAAACTTTGATAGGCTCAGTTTTAAATTCCCAGCTCATTTAGAGACCTCAGAAGAGAGGCAGTGTCCAGTCTGTTAGGACTAACTTGGATTTCAGTTCCACTGTAATTATTATACATCCTGTACAGTTTCATCAGGTCACGCTTACCTTCATGTAGCAGAACCCAGACACCAACCATGGCAAGTACGGACGCACGAATTCATAGATCACAGGGAGGCTGTCTACATGAACCTACACAGGCCGTCAGCCCTACCAGCAATTTCCAAAATAATAATCCTGCAAAATGTACCCCAAAAAGAGGTCCCTAGTTAGATGAGGTTGGGAGGACTGTGCATACTAGCACATTAAAGGTTCTGGGAAGTCCTGAAATAAAGAAACCTTTATTGAAGCCCTCATTCTTTTGGGTTATTGGACCATGGAGTTCTCTTTTCAGTTGGGATCTGTGAGTGTCTGTAGAGCCAGTGTTCTGAAGAATACATTTTAGAGAGACTTGGCTGGACACCTGACTGTGACTTAATGGTCCTGGCCTTTGTGTGTTTGCTCAGTCTGCTGTCCCTTCCTGTAATTCTCCCCCCTTCCTTCCTCTACCTGCCAAGTCCTGCTTGTTCCTGAACACGCTAGTTCACCATCCCTTTTCCATCAGATTTTCCAAACATCAACTCATAATGATCTCTCAAACTCTTAAGTGTTTTTTTTTCTTCTAATGCTTTTTGGCCTTTGAAATATGTTGTCTTGAACTGCTGGTTAACTATGGTTTGTATATCTTCTCATCAATATGATTGTACACTTCTCAGTGCAGGCATAGTCTGTGTTCCTCCTGGTCCCGAATATTGTGCCTGTTTTAGATACTCAAGAAATGTTTACCGAATGTACTTAAACCTTTAGCTCTCAGTTGTTTGAGCTTCAGAGGGAAAAACAAAATAAGGCGAGCAAGAAATGCTGTTAGTGAAGGAAATACAGTCAAAACAAGATTTTAAATACTGCAAGAGTCAGGTTTAACAGTGGGTTGAAACTGTAAGATGAATAAGGAATGTTATCAGTGATCTCAGAGAAGTGTTGCTGGTATCAATCACTGTACCTGTACAGTCAAGCCCTCACACCCCTCCAAATTCCTAGTGCAGTGACTACAGTGTACTTTTTTTTTTTAGAGAATTAGAACTAGACAGTTAACAACATTCCTGATGGGTTTTCAGTTTGTTGGAGTTGAAGGAAAAAGTATTGAACCGTTAAAAGTTTTCAGTATTAAAATTAGAATGTGATTAGCTTAACACTTCTCTTGTTTCTCTCAGAGCCGAATGTGTTACTGATAGTTGATTTGAAAGACTGTAGAGGAGAACCAGTTGTAAATGATGTAAACTCAAATAGGAACTTACTGATAAACAGAAATATTTTACAGAAATATTAACATTAGTCCACTAAAGGACGGGTGATTTTTTAAATATTAGTAGCTCACGTCTCAGCCCTTTGCTACATAGATTCATAACACTTCATATTGACAGGCTTTTACTCTCGCTGAAAATTTGGACTGAGTACTGTCACATTTTACGGGTGTGACTTTAATTATTGACAAAACTGCATTGGAGGTGATGTCTGAAGTGTCCGTACTCTGGTGCCGTGTACCTGCACCTCTAGTCTGGCGACTCATATTTAGGGTGGGGCTAGTGATGGGGTTGCCAGAAGTGAAAGGTATTGAAGAGGCCCCACCACTGCCCGACTGGGCTCATGAGACAGATCTTCATGTCCAGGTGGCTTCCTCTGCTTCCTTAGAATTCGGAGATTCCTTTAAGACATTTAGAGTCATTACTTCAGAAATACATTCTGCAGAGTAGAAACTTGTGTCTTTTTAATTTTTTCGTTTTCTGCCCTTTCTGTCAGTATGATTTGTCACTTTTGCTGCCGTTCTGCTAACTTAGGACAGTCCACTTACCCGCCCCTGATTTAGTGAAGAGAGGCTCACTACTTGCTGAGGCAATCTGATTCTCAGCTAGCTGTAGTAAAACTTGTCAGTTCAGCCGGTTCACTGTCAGTGCGGTTTCAGAGCAAGCCTGACCCCTCTTCTGTATGAACCATGCAGAGGACGTGGCCGTGGTTCCCTAAGCCTTCTGTAGAGAAGGTGAACCACGTTGTATTATAGAGAGATTTTCATGGAAAGTTACCAGGTTTTTCTTTTTAAGCCTTTGACACAGCCTAGGGCAAAAACCATTTTCTTAAGTGAAACATCTTATTGTATAATGATACCAATATGTTTATTTAGTGGATAAGGGATTACCCTTTTAAGATAATGAGAGAAAGCTGATAGCTTTTAATTTTTTTTCCAATTTTATTTAGATGTAATTGACATACAACACTGTGTAAGTTCAAGATACAGCATAATGATTTGAAGCTGATAGCTTTTTGACAGTTGGTTATTAGGCCAAATAGTCATAAGCTGACTGTTTGAAATTCACTTTACAAGGTGTTTATAAAAGCTGTAGCTACCGTATATCTTTCTAGGTAATGGTCAATAATGGCTTCACACCAGATAAAAATGATTATGAATTTTGCGCCAAAGTGGAAAATATGATCATCCCTGCCCAGGGGCATTTTGGAATATCTGCTGCAACTGGAGCTCTTGCAGGTAAGTCTTGCTGTCTTCTAATACGTTAGAAGGTGGTGAATTGAATTTCATTGGGAATACTGTATTTTGGAGATGTGCAGCCTTGTTTACTTTCAACCTTTAAAGACTCGTAACCTTCCCTTGATCTGTGGTGCCAGCCTTGGGGTCTCCCGGCACTGCTACTTCTCTCCTGTAGGTATCCCGTTGGCTGGGGCTCCATACAGGTATGTAAATGAGAGTATCAGTTTTGGGTTTGGTATATTCTGGTGAAGGAGACATACTTAAAAGTTCAATTGCCAAGTGTTTTAGGATCCTGAGAGTTGTCACGGCACATTTAAATGAATTTGGTGGTCTGAGGAAATATTATTGGTGACTAAACTTCCATGTGTGGTGATAAATGAACTTATTGGACATTAATAACATGTTGTGTTCATATTGCATAATTTTTTGTATCATTTTCAAATACATGAATTGTTCCTTACAAACAACACAGGGAGAGAGGGAGGGTAGATCATATTTACCCTATTTTTAGGTGTTTGACAAACCTTGGATTAAAGGACTTTTCTAAAGATCACATGGCTAATAAGTCAGACCCAGGCAGGACTTGGTGTAGATTTTTGGCTCCTGGGTCCAGTGCTGTATTAACACTTGCCCTAAAGTTACCCAACCTGCGCTGTAGTATTGCAGTTTCCTCTACTCTGGCTGTATATCTAGATCTCCATAAAATGGCAGAAACCAAAGAAATTGCTGTAGTTGAAATTCATTATTCTTGTTTTATGGATGTGACACTAGCCAGGATGAGTATTTTACTTCAGTGTTACAAACTTTGACCTGTTAGCTGTTTTTAGCTTAAACATTTTAATTTGATTTCTTAATATGATTTTAGGTTAAATGAAATTGTTAATATTTGCTATATGAGGGAGACAAATACAAATGATGTATATAGAAGAGCAATCATATCCTCTAATCGGGGTGCTGTGAGAGTAAAAGGAGATGCAGTTAGTGGTGGCAGGATGACAGGGAGAGACCAGGACTGTCCCAGTGAGCCAGGACCGAGCAGGGTCATGCACAGAACAGGGAAGTAAGGCTAGAAGAGGTGAGTGCTATAAGAAGGCTTCAGAGACGGAAACAGGAAACACATGAAGGACGGGATTTTGTCTCCCTTGACTGGAACACAGGCCGTGAAGATTTGTTGAAAAATAAAGAAGGATCTTGGTGCCAGGATACCGAGTTCGGGCTCGTTTTGACCCTTCATTTGTTTGTTCTTTCCTTTATCAGATATTTATTAAACATCTGTAATATGTTAAACACTGCCAACTGTACTGGTTTAGGATTTAAGGAAGTGAATTTTAGCTTAGTTCTAATATAAATCTTTCAGATGAATTTGTTTCTAAAGCTCACAGAGCACCGTTGCCCTACCAAATTAGAGCTAATTTTTCTTATTTTCCTTGTTTATTATTTTAAAGGAACAGATGTTTATAAAGTGAATTCACAACCATAAAAATAATCTATTATGGAACTTTTTCTTTCTTTTAATTTGTAGATGACCACGATGTCCTTTCTTTTCTGACTTTCCAATTGACTGAGCCTGGGAAAGAGCCAGTAAGTACACTTTTTTTTTTCCTCCCCCAAAAACAGTTTATTTGCAGTTTAATGGTGTTGCCTTGTAGCTGAAAACTTGGGAAGACTGAGTTTGGGTCTTGTTTCTGCCAGTTATCACCATGTGACCTGGTACAAGCTGCTTAACCTCCGTAACACTCCGTTTCTCCACTGGCAAAACTGAGATGCTGGTGCTGGCCACATTTATGTCTTATGCATTAAAGACTGTGTGCTTCTAGAAAGCGCTCAGTAAATGGCAGTGGCTATTATTATTTGTTGTTGTTATATTAATAGGAAGAGTAATTTAACCTTCCCACTAGTGGTGTAGTAGTTTAACATACATTGTTTATTATTTTCTTACTTAAAATTTTTTTTAATGATCTATTTTTAAACTCCAAAAAAGCCTACACCGGATAAAGAAATTTCTGAAAAAGAAAAAGAAAAGTACCAGGAGGAATTTGAGCATTTTCAACAAGAATTGGATAAAAAAAAAGAAGAATTCCAGAAGGACCACCCTGACCTTCAAGGGCACCCTAGTGAGTTGGAACAAAGCTGTCCTCAGCTGCCACCAGTAGTTGTGGCATTTGTGTCACCTGGCACTTCATTCTTCTCATCTTCTCTCTCTTACCTGGCACATTCCAAGTAATTTCTGGAAACAATTCGTAAGCAAATCTTCAGTCTTTACAAGGCCTGGAGATTGAAGTTTTTACCAGTAAGAGTGTGGCTTAGTGCACTGTGCAGTCTGGAGCACCTGGCTGAGGGGGACAGACACTGAACCGTTGGAGTGTAAGCTCCGTGAGGGCAGGGTCTTGCTTCTTGTGTTACTGCTGTGTCCCCTGAACCTGACAGACAATGGCAGTGCTGATGTAGTAGTTGACACTCAGTAAATATTTGTTGAATGCAATTGTCCAAGGTTTCTTTCTTTCCTTTTAGTGGCACACAATTACCTTATTAATATAGAATTAATACTTAGCAAAACTATTGTGAGAGTAATGTGATTACCTGGCTCTCCCCTTGCTACTTAACAATTCTGGACATTAAAGGTTGAAAATTTTTAAATATTTGCCTAAGCCAATGTAATTAAGTACTTCATGGGCTACATGTCAAAAATAAAACAAGGCCAAATAGAGTGGCTGAGTAATCTGCTGTTATTATCTGGGTTCCCCGTCTGTACAAAGGATCAAGGCTATATCTAATAAAGCTGGGGAGCTAGCTTTTGAACTAAGTAGTATGTGATTCTCTTAAGTGTTAACAGTGTGATTCAGATTTAATGAAGGTAAAAATGAAAGATAAATTTCATTTTTTTCTTAGATTTGTTTTAAACATCGCATATGATTTGTAAGTATATCCTGAAGCTAATTATAGTAAGTGTTTGAACGAAATGACCTGTTTTCAGCAGTCAGGAATGAAAGGAAAATCAACTGTTCGCATTTCCACTTCTTAATCTTTTCTGTATATAAAATGCACAAATTTTAAGACAATAGTTTGATGAATTCTAATAAATGTGTATCCACCTTTAACTATCAGTCAGATCAGTATGCAGAATATTTTTATCACCCCAGAAAGTTCTCTCATGCTTCTTTTCAAGTCAGCTGCTTGAACTATTTAGATTTCTGTTAACTGAGATTAGTTCTGCCTGTTCCTGTAAATGGAATCACATAGTATATTGAAAAGAGAAAATAGTTTTTAGGTGTATCTGCATGTTTACCTTTGGGGAGATCTGAACACTGTGTTGATGATCTAATTTTAGTCTAGGTTGTACTTTGGTCACTTACAGTAATTTGAAAACTACAGATGTGTAGAGGTGATTCTAATAGTTTTGATTTGTTATTTCCATTTCAGCGGATGAAATATTTGAGAGTGTAGGAGATCGTGAGCTGAGACAGATCTTTGAGGGACAGAATCGTATTCATCTTGAAATCAAGCAGCTGAACCGACAGTTAGATATGATTCTTGACGAACAGAGAAGATACGTCTCTTCCTTGACGGAGGAGATCTCTAAAAGAGGAGCAGGAATCCCAGGGCAGCATGGACAGGTGAGCTTTCGGAATATGCAGATACACCCTAGCTGGCCTTCGATGGAGAAGTAGGAAGAAAAAGCTGCTGCGCCCTGTGTTCTGTATAATGAGGATTATGGGGTGACTGGTCATCTTTTGTTTTTCCTCCAGACCACTCAACAAGAACTGGATGCTGTTGTGAACACTCAGCATGAGATTCTGAGACAAGTAAATGAAGTGAAGTAAGTATACGAAAGTAATGTTTGAGTTTTACGTGGTATTTTTATCCTAAATTCATCATTTCTCTAAATATGCAAGCACGTTAAAAGATTCCAACATGAGGGTAAGAATCATGTTCTAGATTATTTTATAAATCACGTTCTAGATTATGAAAGTAAAGTACAGGGATTTTCGAGATTTAGAAACTACTAACATGTCTAAATGTTTTAATTGTTCCAAGCTAGAAAAGGAAAAAAATGCTTTAACATCTTTTTTAAAAAGTTTGTTGCTTGACAGCCAGTAGTATTTGTGCATTTCTAAAATATAAAAAGAATTTGGGTAACACACACACACACACACACACGAATGTTACTCGACCGTAAAAAAGAATGAAATACTGCCATTTGCAGCAATAGAGATTGTCATCTTACATGAAGTCAAACAAAGGAAGACAGGTATTATGTATCACTTATATGTGGAATCTTAAAAAAAATTATACAAATGAACTTATTTACAAAACAGAAACAGATACACATAGAAAACAAGCCTATGGGTACCAAAGGGGAAGCAGAGGGGAGGAATAAATTAGAAATTTGTAATTAACATATCCACACTACGATATATAAAATAAACAACAAGGACCTACTGTATAGCACAGGGAACTATATTCAATATCTTGTAATAACCTATAGTGGAAAAAGAATCTGTTACATATCTATTTTGAATCACTTTGCTGTACACCAGAAACTAACACACATCGTAAATTAACTGTACTTCAATTTAAAAAAAATAGTTGAGGATAATACAAGAGCCTTCTCTCACATCCCCATCACCCAGTTTCAGCAGTTATTAATAACCCAATTTTGTCCGACTGAGCCATTCATTGTAAAGTGCCCCCATCGGCCTGAGTTTTAGCCAGTGATGGCTGGAGCCTAAACCCATCATTTCAGTAGAGGTTGAAGAAGGATGACACTCTCATGCTAAAATTCCCTCTCCATTTGAAAAGAATTTCTCTGATTACTTGTTATCCTGAAATAGTTCAGGAAAGGCAGAATAAATACTTTTTTTCTTGTCCTTTTCAGAATAACAAGTTGGTGCCCTGGTAGTGTCCAAGGTTAAATGAGGAGGTAGTGACAGGTGATGTTTATTTGTTTCAGCTCAAGGATTTTAACATATTTTGCTGTTTTGATACATTAGTCTTTATAATTGGTGTTGATTGTTTCGTCTGTGGCCGTAGCTGTCCCTACAGCTTAGCTTCTGTGTCCTTTTGCTACAACCCCAGTAATCTTTGGTCACTTCCTTTCAGGTGTAAGACTTTCCAGGCTTCTCTGGGACATTTCTGTCCCACACATGGCAAAGGCATTTTTCTTGGAACCCTGGTCTTTTAGTGGGAGACAGTCCAGTGCTTATGGCTACTGGATTGTTATTGCTGCTAGGCCTTTTCAGTGGACAGGGTTACAAGTGTTTTTTGAACTTTGCTATTTGTATGTGTTGGCTTGTGCCATTTGTTAATTGGTTTTATTTTTTAAATGTTGATTTCAAAGTATAAATGTTTTTGGTGCATAGGCGGCATTTAGCATTTGATGTTTACCCAGCTTATTAACTGTTGCATTCTGGTTACTATGCGAGGCATTTTCATGTGAATATTTTCCATAGTCTGGGACCTTGCTCTTAATTATCCTCTTCTGTACCCTTCAGCCTGTCCCTGTCCTGTCCTATTTAAGCTGTTCAGCCACCTTTATTTATTCTCGATCATTGCTTATTTTATTCAAGATAGTCACCACTCTCTTCAAGTGCCATAAGCACTTGAAGCCAACTCTTCAGCTGACTATTGACTCTTCCTGGGAGATGACTTTGTCTCCTCTTCTGTGCCCCACGCTCCGTCCCCACCCGTGTCTCCATCTGCACAGCTGCTGTCCAGGCCAGTCCCTAGCGCTGGATCCCGTTTTGTCTAGTTCTCTGACCCTTGCTCTTTAGTGATCCTTGCTCTGTCTTCTACCTTTGACTTACCCCTCAGGGTCCCGTCTTCCATTTATAAAGGGCTTGCTCTTCCATGATTTAAAACTAATCAAAACAAAACAAACCTTTAATTGACCCTTTTTATTTTCACTGTGGCTTCTTTTTCCTCCCATTCCAGTGAGTTTCTTAGAAAGTAGAACAAACCACCAGTCTTCACTTCCCCGCAACTGTGATTTGTCCTTAAGCAGCTGTCTTTCTGCAGTCACTGGTGCTGCAGGACTAAAGACCTCTCAGTCTTCATCCTGTTGGACTTTCTGTAGCAACTGACACTTTCACGCACTCCCTCTGTCTTGAGACGTTTTTCTTTCAAGGCTTCGGGCATACCACTCCCTCTTGGGTGTTCTTTGGCCTCTGCTGCTGCTCAGTTTTTTTCATTGGTTGCTCTTCCTTCCATTATTCCTTGAAAGGTGTTTTTCTGTAGGCCTCTGTCCAGCCCTTTTTTTCATCTGACCTGTCCCCTTAGCAAGGTCTCCCCTCCTCCCGTCACAGCCCCACCCTCACGGCAGCCTCCTGTCCTTTAACACTCAGCTCTGGGTGCCCAGCTAAGTTGAATGCGTCTTTCTTCATGGAACTCCAGATGTGCCTCTGTCATGTTGCTCTCCTGCTGGACTGTTAGTCTCAGCAGGGCAGGGATTTTATTTTTCTCACATAGTTTATATCCCTAAAAACTGCCTGGCTCATAACATGTAGCAAATAAACATTAGAATCAACAGGCAAATGAATGAAATGATTTAATAGGAATATATTAAGTGATCTATCTTTGTGTATTAAAGACATTTATGTATATCTAAGCAAGTTCATGCTCTGAGAAGCTGTATTTTAAAATGTAGATATGTGAAAAGGTTATATATTCTGGGATGCTTATTTTTGGTAAGTAATTTAGAGATAGTAAAATATCCTTAATTTGGGTTTAAATAGAAAAACCCTGACTCATGAATTTTCTTGAGCATGTATGCTATAAAAAGAAATTTTAATCAATACATCACATCAGAAAGCACTTGAGACATTTTGTAGCAAGTTTTAAACTCTTCATTACTCATGTAAGTCAAATAGAATTTTAAAAAACTTATTCAGCTCCTGACATACCATGTTATTTCTAAGCAATTTTAATTTGATTTCTTTTAGCAAAGCTTTTACTTTTTGAAATAAGTTAGATAATTTATTCATTCATCCAACTTGAACTATAACTGTTGGAGGCACTGTCAGAAAATCAGAGACATCCCTGTTCTCAGGTAGCTTGTGCTCTCTGAGGGAGAAAATCCGTACACAGTAGTCCCTCTGTATCCTTGGGATTGGTTCCAGGACCCCTAAGGATACCAAAATCCAAGGATGCTTAAGTCCCTTATATAAAATGGCATAATATTTGCATATAACCTACACACATCTTCCTGTATACTTTAAACCATCTCTAAATTACTTATAATACCTCATGCAGTGTATTGGTATTAAATAGTTGTAAATCCGACACAACACTGTAAAATGATTATGAATCAATAAAAAATGTAAAAAATAAAAAAAATAGTTGTAAATCCAATGTAAACGCTATGTAAATAGTCTGCGTGTGGCAAATTCAAGTTTTGCTTTTTAGAACTTTCTGGAATTTTTTTTCCTGAATATTTTCAGTCCATGGTTGGTTCAGGCTGTGGATGTGGAAACCACAGATGGAGAGAAGTGTGTGTGATGTTTAGGAAGTAGTTGCATTTGACAGGGAAGGCTCAGAGGAAGGAATATGTAAGGAGAGGTACTGGTCCTTCCATTTGAGACCTTCGCTCTTGGAGGGAGGAGTCGGGACTAGAAGGAGCATCGCAGACACAGGGCTTTATGTGAAGGTTA